GGGGGGGGGTCGGAAGGTGAAGGCGAGAATGATAGGGGTTTCGTCTCAAACTGGACTTGCCACGGCCCCAGCCCCCGGGCCCCAAGATCCCCCTCACCAAAGCACCAAAGTCCCATTCACTGACCTGGGCCTATCCTGGAGGTCTCTTCCCGATCCTCCACACACCAAGTGCACCTCAGGACCTTCAGACCTGCAGAGGGGGTGGGGTGGGGGGCTGCTGTGGCAGACCGCTTGGTCTCTTCCCTCCCCGCTGATACCCCCACCCCCACCCCCCTGCACGAAAGAGAACATGGTCCAGCAAAGTGCTGAAGAAGCCAGAGGTGGTGGGAGGGAGACGCAGGTGCTTTCCAAAGGTCTTTACCTCCAGCCACCCCCCTTGCAGGGCCGACCAGTCCCTTCCCCTGGAGAGGCTTACAGTTCTGTGCGGCCGTTCACTCCAGCCCGCGAGGGCCGTGGGGCTGGAGCCGCGGACCTGCAGCGGCCGCGGGCTCGACGTCGCTCCGCCCGGGCTGCCTAGACCCCCAGGAGGCGGCTCCGCCCGCCGCGACCGCGCGCCCACCCCAGCTTCAGGGACCCCTCCTCTGGTTGTCGTACCTGCTCCGCCTCCGCCTCCCAGCGCTCGGCCGCCCGTCCAGAACCCGCACGCCCTCGAAGCCACCAGAAACAGGCACAGAGGAGGAACGCGCGAAGTCTGGTCCCAGTCTGCAGGGAGGCGGGGTAGCGAGTTTGGCTGGGTCACGTGACGCGTCCTGCCAGCGCGGCTCCGCCCCCCAGCCTGGGCCCGCCCCTGGCGCCCTGGAATCAGGCCAAAAAACGGCTGCGCGACCCCCTCTCCTGCCCCAAGCCCCAGAAACTCACCACCCTCAAGCGTGGCACTTCTCTTCTTTGGGGACTGAGCCCTGGGCCTTTCCCTAACTTGCCAGGAAAGGACCATATTTACTCAAGGGGATAGATATTGGCCATTTCTGTTTTTCTAGGGGAATTGGGTTTTCACTCTCTTCTGCTCCCCAGACACGACCCTTCACTCTGCTGCACTCTGCGCAAGATTTAACAACTCAGCAATCAACATGAACTATATCTTAATGCAATATTTTCAAAGCAAAGCAGTGCAAAAATAGCCATGATCAGCAAAGTGTCCACAAAATGAAACAGAGCACCAGCCACACAGCCACCTCCTCCAGAACTTGGATGTTCCTAACTAGCCATCCCTGTAAGTCTATTAGGTGAAGCTTTGAAGTGTTAACTGAAAAGCCAGCACATTGCGCCCCAGCAGCGCCGCGAGACAAAGTTGAGACCTTCTGCTTCCGTGTAGGGTCACTAATAGTTGAAACTGACTGGATTGCAGTGAGGTGTTTTGTTTTGTTTTGCTTTCACAGTGCTTACGGTTTTCTGTACACTCGACTGCCTGGCAAGGCAGGAAATTCGTCGAGGTGGAATTTCTTCGTATATAGCAGTATATCGTTTCTCATGTTGTTGTTGTCAGGTGCCATGGAATCAGCTAAGGCTCATAGCGACCCTATGCACAACAGGACGAAACACTGCCTGGCCCTGTGCCATCCTCACAACTGCTCCCATGCCTGAGCCCATTGCTGCAGCCACGGTGTCCATCCATCTCTTTGAAGGCCTTCCTCTTTTTCACAGCCCCTCTACTTTACCAAGCATGATGTCCTTCCCCAGGGCTGGTCTCTCCTGACAATCTGCTCAAAGTATGAAAGATGAAGTCTGGCCATCCTTGCCTCTAAGGAGCACACTGACTTTACCTCTTTCAGTACAGATCGGTTTGTCCTTTTAGCAGTCCATGGTACTTTCCATTTTATTTTCCAGCACAATTCCAATGCATCAACTTTTAGTCAGTTTTCCTTATTCAGTGTTCAACTTTCCCATACCCATGATGTGATTGAAAAAGCCATGATGTGAGGTCAGACACACCATAATCATCCAAGTAACAGGCTTGATATTCAGTACTCTAAAGAGGTCTTGCACAGCAGATTTATGCATAGCTTCAAAAAATTGTCATTTCTCATGGAGAATAGTCCACAGTGTTGGAAACCCACAAGGGCAGTTCTGTAGGGTCGCTATAAGTCAGAATTGACTTGATGGCAGTGAGCATGTATTTCCCACATTTTGTCTATACATTCATTTGTTAATGGGCACTTGAGTTGTTTCCATCTTTTCCAATAGTAAATTATGCTGCAGTGAATATTGGTTTACAAGGGTCTGTTTGTGTCCTTGCTTTTGATTCTTTTGGTTATATACCAAAAGATGAAATTGCTGGGTCATACAATAATTCCATTTAACCTCTTGCAAAACTGCTTTCCACAGCAGCTGCACCATTTGGCATGCCCAGTGACAATGGATAAGAGCTTCTAGTACCTCCACATCTTCACCAACAATTATTATTTCCCCTTTTTCTAATAGTAGCCATTCTAGTGGGTATGAAATGTTTCTACTCTGTGAAATAGGATATCCCCATGAGTTAGAATTGATTCCATGACAGTGGGTCTGGATGGGTTTTCTGATTTTTGTTTTAGGACTGGAGGCAAGTAGTTGTTGCTAATAGGTGTGAATTCTTTCTTAGGATGATGAAAATGTTCTAAATTTGGTTGTGTTGATGGTTGCACAACTCTACAATCTACCAAAAGCGACTGAATTATACACTTTAAGTTATTCATTTTATGGTATGTAAATTATATCTTCATACTGATGTTTAAAAAAAACACCTACTTCTAGTCTTATTGAACTACTAAACTATTAATTCCACAGTATGAACCTGTCAACTTGGATGTTGGAAGAACCTTTTTGGTGATCTTTGTGATAATAAATCCTAACTACTTATAATGACATTTGCTGCAACAGAAAAAGAAAGGAATACAAGTTAGATGTGGGAAAAGAAGTTAGTTACAATATTATTGGCTTCCATTAGCACAAGGTAACCTGGCACCGGCATCTTTTGCTCTCCCACTTACAAGCACCAGGCAGATCAAAATGGCAATCATAGAGCCCTTCACCCAACAACAAATGAATGCACATTCTTTTCAAGTGCCCAAGGATCATTCGTAAATATTAGTCATACCCTGGGTCATAAATTTCCAAAAATTTAAACTAATTAAAATAATACCAAATACATTTTCTGACCATAATAGAATCAATGTAGAAACCAATCAGTGAAACACAAGAAAACATCTAAATACACTTGCAAATCAATCAGGATACTTCTAAGTAACCCATGGGTCAAAGATAAAATCTCAGTGTCAAGTAAAAAAATCAATATGCCTGAAGGAAATTGAAAATACAGCATACCAAAATTGGTGTGAAACAGCTGAAAAGGTGTTAAGAGAGAAATCCATAGAACAAAATGCTTACAGCAGAAACAAGAAAAGGTCGGAAGTCAATCATCTAAGTTCCCAACTTCAAGAGACTAGAAAAAGAGAAGAGCAAACTATCCCCAAAGTAGGAATAAGAAAGGAAAAATTAAAGATAAGGGCATTAATTGTAGCAAAAAGCAATGGTTCTACCCCCCAAGTCAATAACATTGATAAACCTCTAGCAAGACTGAGACACTAAGAGAAAACACACAAGCTACCAACAGAGAAAATGAAGTCACAACAGATAGCACCTCCCCCAACCATTAAAAGGATTTTTGAGGAATTCCTAAGAGCAAAAACAAGATAAAGTAATGCTAGAGATTTATTAGTGAATCATACAATGCGTGAATTGGGCAATGCAGAGCAAAATGAAATGCGGCCATATTGAGGTTTTTAGAGTCTGAGAACAATGAAAGTCAGGAACTGCAGGCAGTTGGAGTGAGTCTTTCAGGTATGCATTAAAATACCCTTTAAAGTTCTTTCTTCTTTAAAAATGTCAGTTTTGCTAAGAAGACAGATGATGCAGGTCTCCAGGGGTCAGTACTTGCTGAGGAAGGGTTCCAGATGGCTAGGTGCCTGTGTGTCTGGAATGTAGAAGCTAAAAATGCAGGCTGTTGGTTACACATAAATCTAAAGACAAGCTAGTTATTTATTATGCTACGGGTTGTGTTTTGCTTTATCTGAAATGTTTGCCCTGTGAAGTCAAGCACTGGCAATGTTCTCTGACCATCTTGTTTTTAGCTTCCACTGATCAGAAAGACGACTCTACAAAGTGAAACTTTCTACATGCCTAAATATGAAAACTTAGATGACATAGATCAATTCCTCAAAAAAGACAAACTAAGAAGACAAAAACCACTATGAAATAGATCATCTGAATAGTCCTATAACCAGGACACAAATTATTTTCAAATGTTCAAAGCTTACCAGAAAGATAGCTCCAAGTCCCGGTGGTTTTGTTTCAAACATTTGAAGAATTAACATCAATTTTACACAATCTCTTCTTGAAAACAGAAAAGGAGAGAACATCTGCCAACTCATTTTATGAAGCCAATATTACTCTGATACATACCCCACCCCACCCCCCAAAAAGCAGACAAAGACACAGTACACAAAAAGATAAAACAAGAGCAATACCTCTTGAACACAAAAATCCTCAACAAAAATTGACTTGACCAGGGGGCGAGTTTTGGTTATGTCTCCACAGAATTGGGAGTGTGCATACAGACTTCTCCACTATGGCACACCAACCCATGAGGGCAATGTAACCATGAGGGGGCGCTTGGATTGGCATTTGTTGAAGGAAGCACCATACGGATTTCCATATTGCTTGTATACTTCCACAGTCCCACAAGCAATTTCTGAGCATTCCAATCTCTCCACATCTTTTCCAGCAGTTATCATTTTCTTTATTTTTTAATTTTGCTAAGTATCAGCGTGCGGTGGTATCTCATTGTTTTAATTTGTATTTCTCTTTTCGCTAATGAACAAGAGCATTTCTTCATATGGTTGTTGGCTGCCTGGATATTGTCTTTGGCAAATTGTCTATTCATGTCTTATGTTCATTTTTTTATTGGATTATTAGTACTTTTTTATTTTAATAAATCATTTTCTTGGGGGCTCTTACAGCTCTCATAACAACCCATACATCCATTGTATCAAGCACATTTAGTATTTTTCTTCATAAGAAGTTGTAGTTCCCTATAGATTTTGGAGATTAGCCCTTAATCAGATGAATCATTACTAAATATTTTTCTTCAATTGGTGGATTATTTTTTTTAATTCTTTTGATGAAGTCTTTCGATGTGCATAAATGTCATATTTTTAGAAGGTCCTTTCTTTTGTCTTCTGGAGTGTGGGTATTTTTTCATTATGTTTGGTAGCATGTTTTTGCCTTGTATTAGTGTCCTTAAGCTTGTCCCTGTTTTTCTGTTGTTGATAGTCTTTGTGGCAGTGTGGTTTATATTTAGGTGTTTGATCCATCTTGAGTTGGTCTTTGTACATGGTGCGAGGTATTGGTCCTGTTTCATTCTTTTGCAGTTGAAGATCCAGTTTATCCAGCAGCATTTGTTGAAAAGTATATCTCTTCTCCCACTTAACGTGTTTTAGTCCTTTACCAAAAATTAGGTGTCCATAGGTACTTGGTTGTATTTCTGGGTTCTTAATTCGAATCTATTGGTCTTCAGATTTATAGTTGTGCCAGTATCAGACTACCTTCCTGTTTTTCCTGGACGGAGGTTAGCATAAACCCAGCTGGCCTAGCCCTATCTCAAAGTCAGCAAGACTAGAAAAATCAACAATTATCTTTAAAAAATGAATGCAATGACTGC